CAACTCATGTAAGTGATTTTACAAAAATACGTAAATTTTAACAAATCACATAAGTGATTTTTCAAATATGCGTAAGTGAACACAAATACAAATAGTCGTTGGAGAAAACTTTGATTTCATAAAAATGAGTAAGTTTTTACAACTCATGTGAGTGATTTCACAAAAATTTGTAAGTGAACATAAATACGAGTAAGTCATTAGAAAAAACTTTGATTTCACAAAAATGCATCAATTTTCACAACTCACGTAAGTGATTTTACAAAAATGTGTAAGTTAACACAAAATTCACATAAGTTTATTCATTAAAATTTAGAACAACACAAAAATATGTAAGCTTTCACAACTCACATAAGTGATTTTACAAAAATACATAAGTGAACACAAATAGTAGTGAGTCGTTGGAGAAAACTTTGATTTCACAAAAATACGTAAATTTTCACAATTCATATAAGTGATTTTCACAAAAATATGTAAGTTAATAAAAATTCATGTAAGTTTGTTCCTAAAAATTTAAAACAATACAAAAATACATAAGTTTTCACAAATCATAAAAGTGATTTCGTAAAAATACATAAATAAACACAAATACGAGTAAGTTATTAAAGAAAACTTTGATTTCATAAAAGTGCGTAAGTTTTCACAACTCGCATAAGCGATTTCACAAAAATACATAAGTGAACACAAATGCAAGTAAGTCGTTGAAGAAAACTTTGATTTCATAAAAATACGTAAGTTTTCACAATTCATATAAGTGATTTTATAAAAATACATAAGTTAACACAAAATTCGCGTAAGTTTATTCTCAAAATTTTAGAATAACACAAAAATGCATAAGTTTTCACAACTCACATAAGTGATTTTACAAAAAAGTGTAAGTGAACACAAATACGAATAAGTCCTTAAAAAAAAGGTTTGATTTCCACAAAAATACGTAAATTTTCACAACTCACATAAGTGATTTCACAAAAATGTGTAAGTTAACACAAAATTCACGTAAGTTTGCTCCCAAGAATTTAGAACAACACAAAAATGCGTAAATTTTCACAAATCACCTAAGTGCCTTCACAAAAATGCATAAGTGAACACAAATACGAGTAAGTTATTAAAGAAAACTTTGATTTTACAAAAATTGGTAAATTTTCACAACTCACGTAAGCTATTTCATAAAAATGCTTAAATGAACACAAATATGAGTAAGTTATTGGAGAAAACTTTGATTTCACAAGAATCCATAAGTTTTCTCAATTCACGTAAGTAATTTCACAAAAATGTGTAAGTTAAAACAAAATTCACATAAGTTTACTCTCAAAAATTTAGAATAATACAAAAATACGTAAATTTTCACAACTCACATAAGTGGTTTCATAAAAATACATAAGAAAAAACAAATATGAGTAACTTCTTAGAAAAACAACTTTGATTTTATAAAAATGCGTAATTTTTCACAAATTCATGTAAATTATGTCACAAAAATGCGTAAGTTAACACATAATTCACGTAAACTTATTCTTAAAAATTTTAAAAAAGCAAAAATACATAAGTAACCGATTGAACAAGTATCCTTATTTTAACATTAAAAAATTTAATAATCAAAATCAATTTATTTTAATCCAATGATTTTAAATAAAGCTGCATACACTACCCTTTTTGGTGAATCTTTTGTGCCTACGATTTTCCGTCTTAAACAATCTACTCATGAGTCATGACTTGCATGAAATCTGGAAACTTTATGCCTAAGATTTACTTTTTATTTTCATTGTTTTTTTAGTAATTTTTTTAACACAAAATTTTAAACAACTTATTAAAGGCAAGAAAGTTTCGAAAACAATAAAGTGACTTTTGGGAACAGACTTTTTTGGTAATTTTTTAATTTTTTTGACTAAAATATGATGTAAAAAAAATTAGTATGTTTGAAACAATTTTTTGACTTTTTACGAAAAGATGTGCAAAAAGTAAAAAAAAAAAAGAATCTTTGAATTTTTGGTATGGGTTGTTGGCCTTTTGTTTTTTTAGTGACTTTTTGACTAAAAAAGTCACTTGTCAAACGAGGCCAATTATTGGGTTTTTTTGACAAAAATATAAGGTAAAAAAATAAATATGTTAAGGAAGAATTTTTTGACCTTTTAAGAAGAAAAAAAATTGCAAAAAATAGTTTGAATAAGCAATAAGCTTTGATTTTTTGGTATGAATTAAAAACTTTTTTGACTGTTTATTTTTTTAAGCAACTTTTTAAATTTTTTAACTAAGATAATTACTTGCCAAATTGGGTCATTCCATTTCATATATAAATGGAAGTGGGCAAAAACATTTTGATCCATCCATTTTCTTTTTGAGAGTTTGACATATTGCTTTCTTGATTTTGAGAATGGAAAAGCTTCTTCAACTTGTGCTTTTGAAGGTGTTCATGATTGTGCTCCTAATTGTGACCATGTTCACAGTCATTGCACCAATTGTGGTGGCTACCACAAGAGACCCAGATACTACAAGAGGGTTTGCCCGTGACCTCATAATGCAGTGTCCTTGCACTAAATTTCCCGAATGTTGCCGTGAATGATACTATTACTATCGACAGAACCAATCGCATAAATAAATTTTGATTATACATATCAGATTGTGAGAACCATCATAAAAAGATATTAATATTTTATATAGTTGATTCTGTAATTGATTCTATATCCATAAACTTGTTATATGTATATTATGTGTTAGTCCAATTTGGTTCTTCTAAAGATTTGAATGCAGAGATCCTTGGTCTTACGTTTTTTTTTTTTTTTTTTCCAAGTGTGTAATGCCTTTGTATGCTTGATTGTTTGGGAATAAATAAAGGCTGCTACAATTGTTAATAAGAAACAACCATGCTGCAGACCCCCAGTGGGGGTCACACCCCCAGTGAGATGGCGAGCCCCCACTAGTTGAAACTCAAAAAAAAATAAAATAAAATAAAATAATTTTTTTTTTACCCAATCATGACACGCCACCTCACTGGGGGTCGACCCCGAGTGGGGTCCGAAGCATTTCACAATAAGAAAAAGGTTTCTCATTATTTTGTTTACTTACTAGTAACTTTTCTCTCATTTTCTTTTCTTTGCTTTTCTTTTGACTAATTGAAGATCCGCTATCTACGAAGTGATGTGGAGCATTAAAGGTGGTTTTTTTAAATTATGTTTGGATTAAAGATTTGAGAAGCAATTAGTGGAGGAAATAAAAATTATGAAATATATGAAATGGAAATTTTTATTTTTTTTTTATTTTTTTTTTTTTACTTTTCCTTTTCATTTTCTTTCTCTCCACAAATCCCTACTCAATTTTTTTATTCAAATACAGAATAAAGAAGTGGCTTGTACATTATAAGTCCAGGAAGTTCAATGCAAATGAGATTGAGAGGATTTCCCTAACTGTTTAAATTATCTTGAAAAGTTCAATGTGGGCTGTAAAATTATTTTAATCACTTATAGTGTTTGTTTAGTGGAATGAAAACATAAATGATAGAGAGCTCTAATTTTAGAATTTTAAAGAGAGTTCTACTAACGTGGCAAAAAAAAAAACATAGGCACACATATCACATCACATGTGAACCCCACTTATTGCCACATCACTAGAGCTCTTTTTAAAGTTCCAAAATTAGAGCTCTCAATCTTTATTTAGAATAAAATGATCACTCATTAGCCTCCTTATGAATGACTATCATTCTCTTGTATTCCATTTCCATTGTTTTTTCTATCATTTATTTGGTGAACTAATTCTGAGAATGGACCTTTTCGTGGGATTATCATCCCATTCCACTTCGTTCCAATCAACTAAACTTAACAGTGAGTTCTAAGAATAAAATGCACATATATATATATATATATATGATAATTTTGTGTCATTTTAGTCCTTTAAATTTTAATTTTATTAATTTTGTCCTTAATATTTCCAATTTGGTCCAATTTCAAGTAAAAAATTGATAACCGAGATCAAACCTTGAAAAAGTATGTAAAATATTTGAGTCAATTTAGTCCAATTTCATATACTCCTTAAAGTATGTTTTTTGTGTCACTTTAGTTCTTAAAATTTTTCAAAATGCCCATGCGGGTCCCACACCCATGTGAGTTATTTAATAGAAATTTTGATAAATCTTTTGTAGTCTCTAACATTACCCTAAAATTTTAATTTTGTCAATTCAATCCTGAAACATTAATGATGAAGATGAAACATTACTTTACAATATTGAAGGACGAAATTAATAAAATTAAAATTTTTGAAGACCAAAATGACACAAAATGTATACTTTCCACGCCATAGTTAAAATTTATAATTATTCCGTTAACAATTTAAACAGCTTTAAAAGTGGACTAATTTTACCTAAATTAGAAATTTTAAGGACAAAATTAACAAATTTGAAAAACTAAAATGACATGAAACACATATTTTAAGGACCACAAGTATATTTTTCCAAGTTTCAAACGACCATTCCAACCCTTAAGCTTTTAAAACCATCTCCAATCCTTCATCTTTTGTTTCATCAAATTTAAATTTGATAAAAAAATCATAACTGGTACTCCAATGCTTCATCTTTTGTTTCATCAAATTGAGGATATCTCAAATTTTTCAATAAATTGAGAATGTTGAACCTTTCACCAAATTACTATAGAGAGCCGTCAACTCTTGAGCACCAGACGACAAGCCAAATGTCCCCCGGCCAACCACCTCCATGCAAAAAAATTTTTAAAATTTACATTGGCCAGTCAACTGCCAGTCATCTTCCCGGTCATCCTCCAGATTGACCGGTGATTTGATAAAATCTCAAATCACTCCCCTAAAAAGCATGATATTAGATCAAACTTTTTTATCAAATTTAAGTGCAATTTGATAAATTTGAGTGAAGAGTTAGAAATGCTCTAACAACTCTCTTTACTTTCCATCTGATTTCTTACAATTACTCAGCAAACCATAGTAGGTTTATGAATAATTTCATTCATAAAATAAGCATGCCAATTGATAGAGTTGGTGCAACCATAAAACAAAACTCATTATGCTATAGTCACTTGAATCAAAACCATCAAGGAGATGATACCCTATTTGAAATGTGTATCATTGAAATTATGGATACAACAAAAACATCATAAATGTTTTTCAACAGTTAAAGACGGCCCATGAATCTGGGCGTGATCCATCAGCATCAGCTTCCCCTCTATTATTAAAGAAAAGAAGACGAAACAAATGAAGGCCAACAACCACTATAACCACAACACAACCCTTATATTGTTGGGAAAAAAATATGTAAATTCTCACGATCATACAGCCTCGTACAATCAACAATAAAGAATGCCACTCCCAAAATCGATCATGATGTTTATATACTTCTTCCATTTTTTTCCTTCTTTTAACTAGAAAATCACATGTATGGACCCAAGATATCCCTTGTCAAAGACATTCCAACCGGAAAAGACCTGTGAATTCTTGTTTTAATAGTTGGAACACTTTTGGCAGGACTGTCACTAGCATCTATTTTTTTGTTTGTGTTTAACGTTAATTCTTCTATTGCACTTGGCTCTTCGGATTCCGCAATGAACTGAAGCCCCTGAAAGATCATTTTTGGACCATCTCAGCTGTGAAAGTGAAATGCCCGTGAACTCCAGTCAAGAAAATGAATTCAACCCATCAACATACCTTCAGCGAATTCGCTCCATATGTTAATGTTGAATGGTCTGTTAACTTGGCCCCAACATCCTGTCCAATTAGAAGAACGGAAATAACTCATTAATAACTCGATGTAGATCAATGATGAGCTAAATGCTCGTCCCTCAGCGATTCAGGAAAGAAAAATGAGATTACTAGTATTGTTCATGCACAGTTGCAACAATTTAGAAGAGTTGGACTCATACTGGTGCCACATAATTATATCACGTGTTCCCAATTTAAGGGTAGTATCTTTTTCCCCCCTCGTATAAAACACCACTATTATGCATGCTATTTATTATTGGCAATATTCTCTCAAGCCAGCAATTTAGGAAGTAGTTCTAACAACATATCCTAATAGAAGGTGTAGGAACCAAATTCACATCCCCATATGTCAGTACAAAATCCCACTAAATTAAAATCTCCCTGGTCCTACTACTGCAAGATGTACAATTGTTTAAAAAACTAACAAGGATTCAGTTTTGAGAACTCCAGGAAATATTCTGTTTTACTTTTCGCTGTGTTTGTTTGGGAGCGGCCATGGGATTGGACTACGTATCCCGGGCAGCCCTGAACCCATGTTTGGACACAAAAGTGGACCTCCAGATTGAACCCCAAGATTATCATGCCCATAATCAGTCTGGTGTTCTAGATGCCGTGACACAATTGAAGTTATTTGGCATGCACCGGAGGACACTGAGATTAGAGATAGAAGCTTCGCTGCATTGCTAGACCCCGCATGGGACAAGCCCGTAGGCCAGACCAACAGAGAGAAAAACATCACCACTAAACTCTGCTTCTCACTAAAAGACAATCCTAACGGTGTAACTAAATCCTAACACACCTAACAATTCCCTAAAGATACGGTGCCATTTTCAGATATTCAGACTAGGCCAAGTACTTGCCTTCTATATGTAAGGGTTTTTACTCCCCTTAACTCCCCTTACACAATAACACAACTCTGGAGTGTGAGGTTTTGAGCTCTAGTTCTCCACTGTCCTCTCTCTCTCTCTCACTGAGATTGTTTCCATTACCCTTCCAGTCATCCCCTCTGACATGTTTTGCCACTCTTTGGTGAACTTCTAACTATCCAGCCAAAATCTCCACAAAACAACAAAAGTAAAAGATAAGAAATAAAATAAAATAAAACCAAAAACAAAATAAGAAACGTCAACAGTGACATGGCTGACAGAGGAAAGGCCACAAGCTGGATTGGCAGCAATTGGTTGCCAGCTCGCAGTGACAGATTGCATTATATGGATAGGGAGGAAGTGTATAATTGGATATACCTAATTGGGCAAAGTCAAGATGGGGGAAAACTGAAATCGAAAATCGTGTTTGAGCAAAAGCTACCCCTGGTAGCTTTCTGCTGTAGGCCACATTTTAAAATGTGGACACTACTCTTGGAACCTTCCCTTGTAATTGCATTTGAGCCCCAAACACACGTTTGGGCAGCCAAAATGAATACCTAGTCAGGCTCAAAGCTTTTGAAGTCCAATTATTGGTGGGTCATAAGCAATTGCACAGTGGGCTTCTGTCTCGCAGTAAGGCATAAAAAGTGCAAGTGTAGTAGACCATCAGACCTGAAAAGGTTTTGTACTTAGCCCATCTTTCATGCCTCCCGCTAATTGGCAAAGATACCACAGACCTGAATTAGTTGTATCCTGCATGATGTAGAAAACAAGGAAGCAATAAAAGATTAATCAAATAGAGAGTAGAGGAGGCATGCGTGGTTGTTATGGAATCAGATAGGTAACCTGCTTGCTTTCGAGAAGCTCAATCTTTCCTTCCTGTTGTGTTGATCAACGATTACAACATCAGTAAAGCAGTAATCCCATTTTCTTGATTCAAGTTTAGCCCTATAGACAAAATATAAAAATTGTAACTCACCAACCCAGACACCATCTGATTGATTATTTCAATGTCATACCCAATTTGATTAAGATTTGATTTCACCTCACTTACCTGCAGACAAAGCAAATTGAAAAAGAACATAAGGAAACCAGTATAGCTAAGATGCACCACCCCTAGTGCAATTTGTGACATCGTTGTCCTCTTCTCTTTATTTTAATCAAACGCAAACCCCATCTTAAGTTGGCATAGGTGACAACAATGCAATTAATATAACAAATATCAGTGCATTTCCTATGTCTCCAGCTGCAACCAGGATTCAAACTGTTTAACTGTAGGAATATCTAGACTTCAGTTGATCCCATATTCACAATCCTAATCCAGAAAATCCCTTTCTTGACTGCCCTACACCTCCCAACCTTTAGTATGTCTTAATTGTTGTCCATGAAACTCAACCACTGCAAAACCTAAAAAACTATAATGCAATTATATTCAGAGATGGTCAATCTTCCTACGGTTTTGACATGATTTTTTCATCACTTTCCATGTAAAATTTTGATCTCAAAGTAAAATAAGGGGTGGTTTGTGATGATCTAAATAAGTTCACTTTTCGACTTTTTATGAAATATGGGTTGGGTTTGAAGTGATGTGGTACAGAGATGATGTAACTTAAATAGGATGATGTGACATAAATAGGATAGTGACTTTGACTTTTTGACTTTTTTATGAGATGCCAAACCAAGCCTAAATATAAATAAAAGGGATAGGAGGGGCATGGGAGAAAAAAGAACTGTAAAGTAAGGAAATCAAGGAACAGGCAGCCATTCTTGCACCTTGAAAACTTTCATATCAACAAAGTACAGGGTGGAGGAATCAATGTGTGGGAGAGCGAGGCTATCCATCACGCAAGAGTTTTTTTTTTTTTTTTTTTTTTTCCTACTTCTGTGATTCTTTTCTACTTCTCTATCTTCTTCTTATTCTCATTCTTTGAGTAGTTTCTTTTTTTCTTCTTGTTCAGTTTTTCAGGAGTTTGGCAGGTTCTCAACATTTCTCCTCTGGAATCAAATTCTACACCAAGCCTAATATAGAAAAGTCCATAGGACCTTAACCGAGTGATTCTCTTACTGTAATGAAATGAAAGTTGATCATCTATCAATCTTAATACATAACTAAGGGAAAGTGGAATAGAACTATGTCACACATGATAATAAGACCGTCTTGCTTGGGTGGACAGGATCTCAGTGCATGTTAATCACAAAAAATCATGCATCAAGACCTGAACTAGAAAAATGTTACCCACATCATTTGCAATGAGCTTAGATGTTTCCTTCTGCTCATCCAGCTTCCAATCCAAATTTTCCAGCCTCTTCGTTAAATGCCTCTTTGTTGACTGCAGAAATCAATATTAAAGAAAAAATCAGGACTATTGCAAACACCATGATTAAAGAACTCCAACAAGAGAAAGCAGTAATTACACAGTCCAAATAATTATCCTACTTACAGCCAATGCTTCAGATACGTGCTCTAACTGTTTTGACACAGTTGCAACAGCATTTGCCATATTATGCTTTGTTACGAACATAACATCGGATAGTGACCAGCCCTGTATTGTAAAGGAAAGAGATTAAAACAAATAGGTTCAGTCATGATTAACAAACATACATACACTTGCAAAGCCAAAATCAAATAGAATAGAATTGAATTTTTCACCCAAAAAAAGAGGTTTCAATGGCTTTTAAGGTCACTAATAAAATCATACCTTCCACCACATGCAACAATATCCCATTGCTCCAAGTGCTGCAGCTGGCAGCAAGTACGATGTAGCACTCCCTGTGCGGACACAAAAACATGCGAGCATGTTAGATATATGAAACTCCTCAAGCAGGACCCCATAACAAGGATGATATTGTGCACCACTTTTAAGGCTTAAAACGAACACAAAACATAAGATGTAAATGCCTATGAATCTCAGTGGGTCTATTATAGAAAACAATTGTGGAATTACATGAAACCATACATCTGGCATGGTTAACATTAATTCTCAGTAATCTATCGTTTTAGAATGGGTATGTGCTTAATAAAGAATTTTTTTGGTTTTGCATGGACAAAGTTGATATTTGGATGCATGTCAATAAGTTTTGAAATTTTGATCAATACAGCAACTAAAAAGTTTCTTTGAAGCTTTGAGATTCAATAAATGCTCTTTAGCACAAATCCGTATGAAGGCTCAAAAGTTAATTTATTAGTTGGCTTCTTAGTGGTTCAGAATAGAGTCAGATCTTCCACCAGTAGTGTACTTATGTCAGTTTTCTCTCCTGTAACACTAAGGTAACATTTTACAATTGCAGGTTGATTCTTGATTGGTTTATTATAACATTGGTCTGAAGATCGCTAGTCTACTAAACAATAGTATCATCACATACATCAGTCTATACTGGCCAAAGTTCTTTTCTTTGCTAGCATTCAAGAGTTTGCTATCAGTGAGGGTCTTTTAGATTTGAAGGTATGTCTCAAGGAAGAAAACCATAAGTTGGGATCATGTTAGAGTTAGTGCACACTCCTAGGCACCTAGCACCATGGAAGAGAGCTGCATTCTTTTCAAGGGATTAAAACTTGATTAATTACCCAGCTTACTCCATGCATTTCTTTTCCAAATCAATCTCAATGGAAAATAGAAACACGAATCCTTCAGGAAGATTTCTTTGCCAAATCAATCTCAATGCATTTCTTTGCCAAGTCAATATGCTTGATTTGTCATCTAGCCCTAAATCATTCAAGGAAACAAAAGAGAACAGTAACCATTTTCTACAATTATGAAACATGGTGTCTTGAAAGTTGAAACCTAAGAAGTACCAAAGCTCCAAGATAAGTAGTGTCTGCATCTAACACGGCATCACACCAACATAGCGGGGATGTGAATCCGATGCGCCACGTTTCATATCAATTTTGTTAGTTATTATTTTTTGTAGAACATGTTGGGGACTTCATGACACACGTCTTGTGTGTGGACACGCCTGTCCTATGTCTGGACATGCCTCAAGACACCTTTGTAGGGTTTTTTTTTTTATAATTTTATAAAGTTGATTTAGGGTCAAAGAGGGAAAAAAATAGTAAAATTAATAATACACCCAGGTGTGCATCAATGTCTCTCATATCTACGTATTATAAATTTATATTCATATACATAGTAAATATATATTTTTTTTTTTTTTTTGCCATATCTCTACCGTGTCCATATCCTAATTTTTTGTAAGAGGTTGATAAAAGAAAACTTTCAAATGCACAGTCCACATGGCAGCATGGATTTTGAAATTGACTTTATTTTCAAATGACTGCATTTGTGGAATCCATGAGGATTATGGATACCAAATTTTATTGCTCAAATTTCATCATTAAATGTTAGCCAGGTAATTTCTAACTTGAAACCTTTCAGAGAGAGACAACCCATTGCATTTTTTAAGAAAGGAAATAGATGATATATGGGTAGTTCTAGATGCACCACAAGAATTTGGTTGAGCACCCCAATACTTATGACACCCAAAGCCAAAATTTTTTTTTTTTTCTTTTCACTTTGAACAACCCAATAATCCCAATCCTATCCCTCCTCACCCCATCTGGTCTCCAACCCAAAAAAAGAAGGACGAGAGGAGGCGGCAACATTGGTGGCAGTGAGGAGGTTGCAGAGGAGGAAGTGGTGGCAAATAAAAGGCGCTTGGGGGCTGAAGGAGGGGCAGGGAAGGGGCTAAGGGTAGCAACCGGAGGTGGGGGAGGCGTTTAGGGGGTGGCTAGAGGTGAGTGGTGGCTATGGTGCAGCTAAAGGTGGAAAGGTGGCTATGGTGCTGCTGCCATGATGTCAGCACCGGGGACTGAAGCTGAGGATGGTGGAATTAGGGTTTTGAATTAGGTCTTTTAAGTAATTTAATTTAAGGGCAAAATTGTATTTAAAAAAAAAATGGGGTGTTCAACCTATAATTTGGGGTGTATTTAGAGCCTCCCATGATATATGAATATATATATTATAGGATAAATTACAAATACACCCCCTAAGGTTTGCTTAAAATACGAATTGCTCCCTGTGGTTTGAAAAATTACAAATACTTCCTTGTCAGAATTTTTTATTTAACAGAATTAATTGAAAAAATGAAATTTCTAACTGTTCACCTATACAATAATAAAATTATCTGAATTATTAATTGAAATAAAATTTTAACATTATTAAAAACTGTTAATTAACTTGATGATTTATTAATAAAAGGACCTACTTGTTATGAAATTAAAAACCTTAGAGGGCATAATGTAATTTTTAGAATCACAGGGGATAATTTATAATTCAAGTAAACCTCAAGGGATGTGTTTGTAATTTACCCTATATTATATATATACGCACACACAGAGAGAGAGAGAGAGAGAGAGAGAGAGAACAAGAAGAAGTTAAACAAGTACTAGTAGCATAGACAAAAATAAATGCACAAAAAGGTGAAGGGGGAGCATAACTAGGACAGAAGGAAAAAAATGAAAGAAAGCAAACACCCTCTAAGCAATCCAATCGACAAACACCACAAACCACCACTAGCCTAAAAATTAACAAACTTTCATCCCAAGAGTTAGCGGAGACAAAGTTGAGTGTCCATGGTCTCAAAATTCAAGAGATTAAATTAAGTAAAGAACAGAGAAGAAAATTAAATTTACGTACCACTGGAGGTAGAATTAGAGTTTCCATTGAAAATGGTTATGGGACAAGCTACTGTTAACTCCCTGATCTCTTGTGCTAATTGTCGAATCTGAAGACAAAGGAAAAATAAAACTACATATTTAAATAAATTTGACATTTTATAACTTGATAATAAAATAACCTAAAGAGCTAGAGTAATGCTATATATAATCCTATTTCCTACCTCATTTTCTCACTCCTAGAGACAAAGCAATGGGGTCCACATTCATAAAATGCATGTGAGACCCACTCACTTATGTCTTGGAGTGAAAAAAGGAGGTATGAAATATGATTATATGTAGCATTTAAATGCAACATCTTTATGATAAGTTAAAAACCATTTACAAGTTTTTTTTTTTTTTTTTTCCTGTCAATTAATTTGAAATCAATATTTCCTACATGCCCAACTAAAGCAAGGGACTTTTCTTACTCAATCTACATATTAGCTTTTTTATAAAATAGAAACACGAATCCTTCAGGAAGATTTCTTTGCCAAATCAATCTCAATGCATTTCTTTGCCAAGTCAATATGCTTGATTTGTCATATAGCCCTAAATCATTCAAGGAAACAAAAGAGAACAGTCAACCATTTTCTACAATTATGAAACATGGTGTCTTGAAAGTTGAAACCTAAGAAGTACCAAAGCTCTAAGATGAGTAGTGTCTGCATCTAACACAGCAGCACACCAACATGGCGGGGATGTGAATCCGATGCGCCACGTTTCATATCAATTTTGTTAGTTATTATTTTTTGTAGGACGTGTTGGGGACTTCATGACACACATGTCTTGTGTGTGGACACGCCTGTCCTATGTCTGGACATGCCTCAAGACACCTTTGTAGGGTTTTTTTTTATAATTTTATAAAGTTGATTTAGGGTCAAAGAGGGAAAAAAATAGTAAAATTAATAATACACCCACATATACATCAATGTCTCTCATATCTACGTATTATAAATTTATATTCATATACATAGTAAATATATATATATATATATATATTTTTTTTTTTTTCCATGTCTCCACCATGTCCGTATCCTAATTTTTTGTAAGAGGTTGATAAAAGAAAACTTTCAAATGCACAGTCCACATGGCAGCATGGATTTTGAAATTGACTTTATTGTCAAATGACTGCATTTGTGGAATCCATGAGGATAATGGATAACAAATTTTATTGCTCAAATTTCATCATTAAATGTTAGCCAGGTAATTTCTAACTTGAAACCTTTCAGAGAGAGACAACCCATTGCATTTTTTAAGAAAGGAAATAGATGATATATGGGTAATTCTAAATGCACCACAAGAATTTGGTTGAGCACCCCAATACTTTTGACACCCCAAGCCTAAATTTAATATTTTTTCTTTTCACTTTGAACACCCCAATAATCTTTATCCTATCTCTCCTCACCCCATCTGGTCTCCAACCCAAAAAAAGAAGGACGAGAGGAGGCGGCAACATCGGTGGCAGTGAGGAGGTTGCAGAGGAGGAAGTGGTGGCAAATAAAAGGCGCTTGGGGGCTGAAGGAGGGGCAGGGAAGGGGCTAAGGGTAGCAACCGGAGGTGGGGGAGGCGTTTAGGGGGTGGCTAGAGGTGAGTGGTGGCTATGGTGCAGCTAAAGGTGGGGAAGGGTGGCTATGGTGCTGCCGCCATGATGTCGGCACCAGGGACTGGAGCTGAGGATGATGGAATTGGGGTTTTGAATTAGGTCTTTTAAGTAATTTAATTTAGGGGCAAAATTGTATTTAAAAATAAAATATGGGGTGTTCAACCTATAATTTGGGGTGCCTTTAGAGCCTCCCATGATATATAAATATATATATTATAGGGTAAATTACGAATACCCCCCTGAGATTTGCTTAAAATACGAATTGCCCCCTGTGGTTTGGAAAATTACAAATACTTCCTTGTCAGAATTTTTTATTTAACAGAATTAATTGAAAAAAAAAAATTTCTAACTGTTCACCTATACAATAATAAAATTATCTGAATTATTAATTGAAATAAAATTTTAACATTATTAAAAACTGTAAATTAATTGATGATTTATTAATAAAATGACCTATTTGTTATGAAATTAAAAACCTTAGCGGGCATAATGTAATTTCTAGAATCACAGAGGGTAATTTGTAATTTAAGTAAACCTCAAGGTGTGTGTTTGTAATTTACCCTATATTATATATACACACACAGAGAGAGAGAGAGAGAGAGAGAGAGAGAAGACGAAGAAGAAGAAGAAGAAGCAGAAGAAAAACAAGTACCAGTAGCATAGACAAAAATAAATGCACAAAAAGGTGAAGGGGGAGCATAACTAGGACAGAAGGAAAAAAATGAAAGAAAGCAAACACCCTCTAAGCAATCCAATCGACAAACACTGCAAACCACCACCCTAAAAATTAACAAACTTTCATCCCAAGAGTTAGCGGAGACAAAGTTGAGTGTCTATGGTCTCAAAATTCAAGAGATTAAATTAAGTAAAGAACATAGAAGAAAATTAAATTTACGTACCATTGGAGGTAGAATTAGAGTTTCCATTGAAAATGGTTATGGGACGAGCTACTGTTAACTCCCTGATCTCTTGTGCTAATTGTCGAATCTGAAGACAAAAGAAAAATAAAACTAAATATTTAAATAAATTTGACATTTAATAACTTGATAATAAAATAACCTAAAGATCTAGAGTAATGCTACATATAATCCTATTTCCGACCTCCTTTTCTCACTCCTAGAGACAAAGCAATGGGGTCTACATTCATAAAATGCATGTGAGACCCACTCACTTATGTCTTGGAGTGAAAAAAGGAGGTATGAAATATGATTATCTGTAGCATTTAAATGCAACATCTTTATGATAAGTTAAAAACCATTTACAAGTTTTTTTTTTTTTCCCCCCAAGTCAATTAATTTGAAATCAATATTTCCTACATGCCCAACTAAAGCAAGGGACTTTTCTTACTCAATCTACATATTAGCTTTTTTATACTTTATGTATTTAAAGTAATTAAAGTTTATGCCATCAAAATGTCTAGTTGAGCCAAGGCAATGAATTGCTTCTAGTCGATAGAAAAAAGGATCACCAAGTAATTGACTAATTTCAAAGGGTTGTCATTAATCCAAGTTCAGAAGTTACCAATTCATCATTTGGGAACTTTTATTCAATAATTTAGCGTTTATATTATTCTATTTGAAAAGAAAAAGGAAAAACAAACAAACACACAACATGCCTAGCAATGAAAATAAACATTATGGGTATGTTTGGTTTGGTTTTGGGAGAGTAGTTTTTAAAAATTATTTTGAGGAGAGAGTTTAGAAATTTTTTTGGTTTGTTTGGTTGTGTATTTTGAAAGTAGTTTTGGAGTTTGGGAGTTTGGAATGATTTAATATTTTGTTATAATTAAATAGATGTGTGTGAGAAAAGAAGTGATTGAAAATGAGAGAGGAGAGAGAAAAAGTGATTGATTGATAGGTAAGAGAGAGAAAGTGATTTTGGAAATTGTTTTGAAAAATTTACAAACCAAACAAATTTTTTAGAAAAAATTTTCCAAAATCACTCTACAAATCCAAACCAAACATACCCTATGAGTTTTTACAATGAAGATTTCCTCAAGATATAGGATGGTTTTTCTTAAAATTATAGGTAGGGGTGGTAATCTCAATTGTGTAACCCACACACTGGATCACCTAGATCATCAAGAAATAAAGAAATGCAAGTTAAGTTCGATGAGTTACATCCGACGAGGCAATCACAAAGAATATAGGTACATCAGAGTGTATTAAAATCCCAATCCGGATCTTACAATCCTATGATCTTACAATTCATTTGGGCACAATTGATCTGGATCATGTACAAAATCTCTTACATGTCAAATCTTTCGATCGTGATGATTGGATCTTATAGGATCACGAAATCCCGATCCAAATATGATCCTATCCGATCCAATTTGTAAGTCTTGTTTTGTATTGTTACGGCCTATTTTATTATAAATTTTATGTTTATTGTCTAAATACCAACTTATGTGATCCAAATGAATAAAAAAAATAAGTAATATTGAATTAAATGGATTAAAAAAAAAACTAGAAAAACAAACATTTAAATATTGCAATTGTAAGTCTTGTTTTGTATTGTTACGGCCTATTCTATTATAAATTTTATGTTTATTGTCTAAATACCAATTTATGTGAGCCAAATGAATAAAAAAATAAGTAATATTGAATTAAATGGATTAAAAAAAAAACTAGGAAAACAAACATTTAAATATTGCAATAATTTAAGAAAAATAACTAATCAGAAAAACAAATTTAGCCTTATAAGGGTTTGAGGAGGGCGATATGTATGCAACTTTTACCCCATCTTTGGAGAGGCTATTTTCGTGACTTGAGCTCACTCCACCAGAGAAGCTAATTCGGCCAAGCTGCTCTTTTGAGTTCACAATCTATTTTCCTATTCAACTTTGTTAAATATTTTTCCTTCATTTTTTTATGCATTTTTGTAGATTGCAAAGTACTATGTTATAAAACTTTTCTTCTTCACATTCTTTTTTTATGAAATGCAAAACTTTTACCATTGAGTCTTCTATTTTATAACATAATATTTACATTTTACATGGTATATTATATTTTTCATAATAGCTTCACTTCCTTTTAGTATAGTTTAGGCTTGTATTGTGTATACTTTCTAAAAAATGTTTATTTAAATTAAATTATTACGTAATTTATCTTTTTCGGTAGGATCTTACAACCCTCAATCCAATTCTACGATCCGATCTTGTAAACTTCTCCAATGATCCAATGTAGCATCCCAATTATAACAACCTTCAGCACAAGAACATAGGCTCAAGTCTAAAGGCAGCCACCTTGTGCAAACAAAGTTAGCAGTTAGGTTTGCATAATCCTCTCCCGCCAGCACCCCCAATTAACCAGAACAGCACTCAGTACCATGGCCATTTTGGTCTAGGCCCTAGCAAAGGCAAGAAGAAGACTCAGGATTTCATTCCAGCACAAAGGTAGTGCTGAAAAAGCCTAGGTGGCTTTTTAGGATATCTAGGGCAGTAGTTGCCTTATGCTTGTAAATCTAGTTACATTGATGCCCTAAAAGACCAAGGCACCCGAGCAACTACCATAATGATTTTACTTGGCATGCAATCATGTCTTTCAATGTATTTTTAAGAAATTACAAACTCTTCTTCTTAATCATTTCAAAATTATGGCTAACTCTTTGATTAGTTGCTTTTTCAAGTTCTTCAAATTTCTTCCAAAATCAAAATTTAAAAACGCTGAGAAAGACTACAACATGCTATGACTACAAAAATATTGAGGGGTAAATTATTTCTTCAATGTTTCAGCAACCAAACAGTGTATTCCCCCAATTCCTTATGTAATGTGTTTTCAGTTTAGAATCAGATTTTAATTATTTGACAGCTAGTATTATTCAGCTAAAACATAAATTTCTAAAAACTGATAACATATAAATTATCTAAAGAATAATTAAATATTTTTACTCTTTTCTAATACAAACAGTGCTTTTACAGGGAACACATTATACTATCAATAACAGTTGATTAAAACTTTTTTGAATATAATTTCATGTTTTGGGATAAAGACAATAACAATTGTCTTTTCCTTCCTTCTTCAAGAAAAGCAACCTTATCAATGATAACTAAGGGGAATTACAACTAAACAATACTAATACCTGAGCTGCAAGTAGTGCACTATCATACTTGTCAGGTGAGATCTCAACTTCATTTACACCCTTTATTAACTCCTGAAGCTGCGAAATGAGATCAGACAATTGCCCACTTCTCAAAATAACTGAACCAGTCAGACCTAAATGGCAGTTGAAAAAAAAATATGAGCACAGATGTTAACATAGATGATAAAAAACCAAAACTCCTACATTAGAGAACGAACCACATAAAGACATCAGAAACATATACAAGAAACTTCTTGCGTTATGATAATCAATATGAGCAACTACAATAAACAAGATGAAACTAAATTTATGAACTAGATACAATAACAAAGTAATAAATTCATAGTTATTTATTTACATGTACTGATTTTATTATGTACATAGTTAATTAATCAATATAATACTAATTTGTAATGGCAACACCCATTTGGTGAAGCCAGTTTTCGAAGCCATGTGACTAGGTATAGTCATGGGATGGGATTGGGCTGGGTTTGTAGCAACCCGTCCCAGTTCCATATCATATCGGATCGGGGCAATTCAGGGGCGTTGGGTCGGGTCAGTTAAAGGCAAATCCACCCCTACTCCCACTTCCTTGTTGGGGTGGAGCAGGGTGGGGCGGACAGGAGAAAATGATCGTCCCTAGATGTTCCACATTTTATTTCCAAAAACATCCAAACAAAATTGATTAATTCAAATGAGTGAAAAGTTTTGTTCCAATCACTTGAGGATAAATATGTAAGTCATTAGAGACGGTTACATATCCACCTACCAAGTCTCTCCCCATTCTTTCAGCTCTCCACTTCCAATCTCACTATGTGTTTAACTCCTATCTTCTCTCTTCTTTCAACCACTCATTCTACATGGTAAACTATTATATGTGTAGTAGGCATTAATTTAAAAATGAAAAGAGAAATAGATTATTAGTTAATAAATACATAAAAATTATAAAATGTCCCGTTAGTGCAGTACACCCACCTAGATATATAAGAATATATGTATAATATGCTTCAATTTGTGCTAGTTTGTAAAGGAAGTAATTAAGTTTCAATGAAAAGTTAACCTGGGCAGGGACTCAGAAACACAGATACCAAGTTTACAATTATCCATGATCAAGCTATAACAGTCATGTCTAGAGTACACTAGATCTCTTTATTGGGTGATTCTATTTGCACACCACATTTTGTCTCAGTACACATCAGATATCAACTTTCGAACAAAATACAACTGTTCGGATATCTACTTCCGAACAAAGTACAAATGTTCAGATATCAACTATTGAACAGGATTTTTATTCAGATAATTGATTTTTGTTTAGAAGTTGATATTCAAACATTTTGTTTTTTTTTTAGAAGTTGATATCCAAACAGCACAAATAACATCTTCTCATATAAACTATGGTGTACGAATAGAATTACCTGTCTTTAATATTGCGAATTTTTCGTGAATTGACAAAAGTGCCCCCAATTCAAGATTACGTAGTGAATTAAAAGGGCAATTCCATCTATTCACAAATGTACTAACACTAATTCTTGAAACAAACAAAAAATTGAAAAAAATCAGAAGAACAAAATTGAATTCAGATAGATCAAGGGAACAAAATTGAATTGGGTAAATATATGATAAAAGGAAAGAAATGCAGTTTTGAAGAAGATTTGGGTTCTAGGGTTTAAGCAATTAAGCACAATATTTGTACCAAATCAAAGAAGGCAAGAATACAGAATCCAATTAACTGAGTATAAGCAGATCAAAACAGCAACAATAGAATGATCAAAGACAAAGAGAGATCATGTATATGTATATGTATATGTATATGTATATGTATATATATGTGTGTAGAGAAATTACCAGCTCCGACTAGGATTAGAACTTTGGAGGTCGAAACCCCAGTCTGCAACGCCATGCTTTCGTGTCTGAATCGAACAATTTTTGGACTAAAAAGCAATATGGTTTATAGAGTTAATTACACTAACCTCCCTTCATGTTTAATGAAAATACACTCAACCCTATAAATTTAGCATAATTATTTATTTGTCATTTTTTTCAAAATTTTATATTCAACGTGGATTTTGTTCAAAAAATATTTAAAAGGCAAATTTAAACAAATAGGTTTATTAAAAACATATTTATTTAATTCAAGTTAGATTAAATTATAATAATCTTTTGTAAGGTTTTTGACAATTACAAAAATCCCTATAGTTTTTTAAAGAGATTTTTATTGATAAATCTCATTTAGAAGTGTTTTAACTCAAAAAGTTCATGAAGAAATTTATTAACCCATTTAGTCCCATGTATATATAGTTTTATTCCATAAAGTCCTTTTTCTTGATTTACACTCTTTTTTTAGACTCTTATGCCCTTATATTTAATTTTGATACCCTTACAAATATTTTTTGAACGGTTAGCAATTTTATGATGTAAATATTCATATTTTAACATTCACATTGGTAAGAATGTAAAATTGGCCCGTGGCCCGTGGGCGGTCCGAAGATCGCCCCCGGGCCGGAGCGGGCCCAGTCCGTTGACAATGTGAATATTCACATTGACATGTTAACATTCACATTGATAGAAGTGTAAAATTGGCTCGCGTCCCGTGGGTGGCCCGAAACCCGCCGGTGGCCCGTGGGCTGTCCGGGCGGACCCGGCCCGACCCGTTGACAATGTAAATATTCAAATTGACATATTAACATTCACGTTGATAGGAGTGTAAAATTGACCCGCGGCCCGTAGGCGGCCCGAAACCCGCCCACGGGTCCGACCCGCCCCGTTTACAATATGAATATTCACATTGACATGTTAACATTCACATTGATAGGAATGTAAAATTAGCCCGCGGGCCGTGAGCGGCCCGAAGCCCTCCCGTTGCCCAGGGCGAGGCGGGTTGTAAATATTCGTATTTTAACATTCACATTGGTAAGAATGTAAAATTGGCCCGTGGGCGGTCCGAAGCTCGCCCCCGAGCTGGGGCGAGCCCGGTCTGTTGACAATATGAATATTCACATTGACATATTAACATTCACATTGTTAGAAGTGTAAAATTGGCCCGCGCCCTGTGGGCTGCTCGGGGCGGGCCCGGCCCGGCCCGTTGACAATGTGAATATGCACATTAACATATTAACATTCACGTTGATACGCGTGTAGAATTGACCCACGGCCCGTAGGCGACCCGAAACCCGCCCGCGGGCCCTGTCCGGCCCGTTTACAATGTAAATATTTGCATTGACATGCTAACATTCACATTGGTAGAAGTGTAAAATTGACCCGCGGCCCGTGGGCGGCCCGAAACCTGCCCGTGGGCCCAGCTTGGCCCGTTTACAATGTGAATATTCACATTGACATGTTAACATTCACATTGATAGGAGTGTAAAATTAGCCCGTGGCGACCCGAAGCTCGCCCGTTGCCCGGGGCGGGACGGGCTGTAAATATTTATATTTTAACATTCACGTTGGTAAGAATGTAAGATTGGCCCGTGGCCCGTAGGCGATCCGAAGCTCCTCCCTGGGCCAGGGCGGGCCCGGTCTATTGACAATGTAAATATTCACATTGACATGTTAACATTCACATTGATAGAAGTGTAAAATTGGTCTGTGGCCCGTGGGCTGCCTGAAACCCGCCCGCGGCCCGTGGGTTGCCCGGGGCGGGTCCGATGCATTGACAATGTGAATATTCACATTAACATATTAACATTCACATTGATAGGAGTGTAAAATTGACCCGCGGCCTGTAGGCGGCCAGAAACCCGCCCGCGGGCCCGGCCCGTTTACAATGTGAATATTCACATTAACATTGATAGGAGTGTAAAATTGGCCCGCGGCCCGGAGCGGATTCGACCTGTTGACAATGTGAATATTCACATTGACATGTTAATATTCACATTGATAGGAGTGTAAAATTGGCCCGCGGCCCGTGGGCCACCCGAAGCCCTCTCGCGGCTAGGGGCAAGCTTGTTTGGGCCCGGGTCCAAGCCCAGCCCGAGAACTTAGGCTAGGACCTGGGCCATCACTTTGAATCTCGGCCCGCATAAGGCCTATTTAAGGCTCGGCCCGAGACCCGGCCCGCAAGAGGCCCGGTGTCTTTTTTGTGGAAAATAATAAAATTTTGAGAGAAAAAATTAAAAAGAATTAAAAAAAATGGCGAGGCTCACCCAAGCCCAAGTCTAGGCCCAAACCCCTTGGTTCGACATACCGAGGCACCCAAAGCCTGAATACCTTTGTGCCAAGGCTAGGGCCTAGGCCTAATTTTTTGGCCCGTGGGCCTGTCCGGCCCAGTCCGAATTTTGGCAAACACCCACGAGGCTTTACATGGGTTGGCCCTGGCCCGGGCTAGGCCAAGCCCCTACACATTGATGATATGAACATTCACATTGACGGTGTGAACATTTACATTGACAGTGTGAACATTCACATTGACGATGTGAACATTCACATTCGGGGTATTTTGATAATTATGTCACCCATAGGATGTGAACATTCACATTAAGGGTATTTTGATAATTATGTCACCCATAGAACTTATTGAAACATAAGAAAATAATGTGAACTAAATGGAACATAAGTAAATGAAAATGGTATTTCGGTCTGCTTACCTTAAATAGGAACATTCACATTGACGGTGTGAACATTCACATTGACGATGTGAACATTCATATTGGGGTATTTTGGTAATTACGTCACCCATAGGATATGAACATTCACATTAAGGGTATTTTGGTAATTATGTCACTCATAGGACTTATTGAAATATAAGAAAATAATATGGACTAAATGGAACATAAGTAGATGAAAAGAATATTTTGGTCTTCTTACTTCAAATAGGAACATTCACATTGACGGTGTGAACATTCACATTGACAATGTGAACATTTATATTAGGGGTATTTTGGTAATTGTGTCACCCATAGGATGTGAACATTCACATTAGAGATATTTTGGTAATTATGTTACCCATAGGACTTATTGAAACATAAGAAAATAATGTGGACTAAATGGAACATAAGTAGATAAAAAGGGTATTTTGGTCTTCTTACTTCAAATAGGAACATTCACATTGATGATGTGAACATTCACATTGACGATGTGAACATTCACATTAGGGGTATTTTGGTAATTATGTCACCCATAGGATGTGAACATTCACATTAGGGGTATTTTGGTAATTATGTCACCCATAGGACTTATTGAAACATAAGAAAATAATGTGAACTAAATAGAACATAAGTAGATAAAAATGGTATTTTGGTCTTCTTACCTCAAATAGGAACATTCACATTGACGGTGTGAACATTCACATTGACAATTCACATTAGGAGTGTTTTGATAATTATGTCACCCATAGGACTTATTGAAATATAAGAAAATAATGTGGACTAAATGGAAAATAAGTAGATGAAAAGGGTATTTTGGTCTTCTTACCTTAAATAGGACCTAATGGAATAGTCAAAAAGAATATGAGTTGGATGGAATAAAGCTCTTAAAAAAAAGATTTATCAAAAAAGCTCCCTTTTTGAAATGACACTAACCAAGCTAACAAAGAAGAGACATGAAAATAAATAATAAAGAACCAAAAATTAGATGCATAAGGCGAAATTAGTTTTGGGTAATGGGGGTAGGATGATGGCAAAAAGTTGAAAATGCAAAAGGTGTAGGAGGCTAATTTTGTCATTTCCTTTAATTATATTTAATATTTAAAATACAAAATATATAAGGATAAAAAAAATTTCTAAATTCTGTTTAATAGAATAAATACCGATGTAATTATGTATAAATTATTAAATTAACAATAAAGGCCTATATTGATTAAGGCCGAAATGTATATCATTGAGGCCATTAATTAGAATCTCTTAACTTTACTTGCTGGTCAAACTGTATACTTTATGTGTGTTGAATGTCAATCAGGTTAAAAAATATCCAACTCGAACTCGGGTTGATAACTAATTGAGCTCGAGCTCAGCTCGAAACTTGATAATGAATTTTTTTAATTATTATTTACTTTATTTAAATATATAAATAATATATTTATATTATTTTAACATATAAATAATATTTTTATTTTATAATTTAAATAAAAATGAACGAACTGAACTTATTTAAACTCGAACTTAACTCGTTTACTAAACGAATTTAAAAATTAGGTTTGAACTCGTTTAAGCTCAGTCAAGCCGAGTTCACAAATAGTTCAATTCGTTTGTAACCTTAAGTAAAGATATGTCGTTTGTAACCTTAAGTAAAGATATGTAAAGAATAAAAATAAATAAAACTAATTTAAATCAATTCACTCGTTTTGAGAAGGTGAGGGAATTAGGCTAGGTGATAAAAATTAAGCAGTTGATTGATCTGTAGGTTAAAATTTGTCAACTCGCCTAGAAATTGACCGAACTTCGCCTATATGTATACCCGCAAGCAATTACATGGCACCTACCTATATACAATATGTCCCTGAACCTAATACCATTAATTAATTAAATGACAGACACCGCTTATTTTCATTGCACATTTTCCTCTAATTTGATTATTTTCTATGTTAATTGATGAAACACGAATTTGAATATCAATTAATTTGTAAATTGTGTCAGGATTTGAAATAAATAATTAATTATTTGTTTGAAATTGGGAAAAAAAACAAAAAGTTATATAGTCATTGATGGTCCTTTTCATTTTGTAACTTTTAATTATTCAATTATAAAAGAGTAATGTTATATAAATAAATAAATAAAAGATAAAAGACAATTTTAATACTTTAAAGTATGCGTTTTTTGTCATTTAACTCTCTGAAGTTTCAATTTTGTTATTTTGGTCCTTAAAGTTCTCAATTTTAGTCAATTTAATTATGAGTGATTCTATTTACACACCATTAATAGATTAAATTTATATTCCAATACTATCATCTAATGAAATTACTATATTTAAAAATACAAAATACTCTTTACACACTATCATTCCTATAGGATTTACGGTTAACATATAAATATTATATTTTTTCATCATTTTCACGATTAAC